GGGGGGGGGGGGGGGGGCGGGGTCGTCGAGATTAGCCGAGCAGCAGCTGATAGACGCGCCGAGTGGAGCGAGAGACTGGCCGAGATCAGCCGAGATTTTAGGCGCCTCCGGCCCAAGCAGCGCGAGCAGCTCTGCGCGCAGCCCCGAGACCGGCCGCACCTAAAACAGAAATTGACCGGAGTAGAAAGGTGAGTTCTGTTTCTTCGGGCGCAACCCGGAGGCATGCCAGAGCCGAACCTCGTTCAGGCCGGCGGCGTAGTAGCCGGCACCCGCGACCACCGGGTCAAAGTTAGAGCGCACCGACCACCCCACCACCTCGCCCAAGCAGTTGAGGAGAGGGCCGCCGGAGTGGCCGCTGAGCATCAGCGCGTCCGTGCGCAGCCAGGCGCCTGGTGAATCAGGGCGTGAGGGGTGAAGCTTATTCTTCTAAAGCGCTCGTCAGAAGTGGGCCGCCTGAGATAAAGGACGCGGCGTTAGACATGGTTATCACTTCTTCTTCCTCAGAAGCGGTGCGCGGCCTGGCGCCTGTGCGCTCGTCGTCGAGCCGGCCCGCAAAGACGCCGCGCGTGTTTGTTGCGGAGGGGCGCTGGGCGCGGCTGGTCTTGGAGTAGCCGAGAAGGACCTCACGAAGGCATTAAGGCAGTCCGTTAAATAATAATTAAGCATTCGATAAGGAGGTTATCTCGCGCAATCTCGTTCGCACCAGGTCGTCTCCGAGCCGAAGCCGCAGCTCGTTCCCCAGAGGAAGGGCGGCGAGGCGGCGCGGCGAGAGGGGCGCGGCCTCCGACACCTCGCTGCCGCTGCTGCGGGCCGGCGACGCGCAGCAGGCCTCGAGGTCGATCGATCTGCCGCAGCGCTTTGGCGGCGGCGGAGGAGGAGGAGGAGGAGGAGGAGGAGGAGGAGGGTAGAGGGGTCGCCAAGCGGAGCAGGAGGCGGGCGAGGAGGAGGAGGAGGAGGCGGTGGACGAGGAGGAGGTGGAGGAGGAGGAGGTGGAGGAGGAGGAGGGGGGGAGTCGGAACGCCACTTCGAGCAGCACCAAATCCAGCCCGTTCCTCTCGTCCCGCGGCGCAGGAGGGGGGGACACGCGCCGAACCACCGCCATGTAGCGCCACTCAACGGGCGAACCTAAAAAAGAAATCCAGGAACCGGTGTTTCTTTTTTCTCATCGCCCCTGCAGCGCCACTCGGCGAACCTAAACAAACAACTCTGGCCGGTCGATTTCTTTTTCTCCTCCCCTGTAGCCGCCACCCAGCGGCCGAACCGAGGCCAATCGCCACGCCTGATCGATGCGCCAGAGACAGATGAGTACGAGCCGAGTCGTCGGCGGTGAGTGGACCTCGGGACCGCCACGCCGTGTTCATACGGGCCGAGAAGCATAGGACTAGGGGTAGGGGTAGGGGTAGGGGTAGGGGCAGGGGTAGGGGTAGGGGTAGGGGTAGGGGTAGGGGTAGGGGTAGGGGTAGGGGTAGGGGTAGGGGTAGGGTTCGGGGTAGGGTTAGGGTTAGGGGTAGGGTTAGGGTTCGGGTTCGGGTTCGGGGTAGGCTCGCCGTGGTCATATGGGTCGAGAAGCGTGCTTCGCCTCGGTGACGCTGCGGCGGCGCCAGCCGGCGCGTGTGCGGCGTGCTGCCGGATGTCGTCGAGCACATGCGCACAAGTAGAGATCACGGCGCCCGCCTAGAGGACACACATACCTCCCCATACCTCCCCGTATCTCCCAATATCTCCCCGTATCTCCCCCAGATCTCCCCATATGGCGTCCGCCTAGGAGATTGCACGAGATTGCACGAGATTGCACGAGATTGCATGATACTCAGGTCGAGAATCTCGAAGAATCTCGGAGCATCTCGCGCAATCTCGGATCATCTCGGAGAACCTCGGATCATCTCGGCCAATCTCTCAGGTCGCCTCCACGCATCTCTCGTCACCCGGAGGAGCCTCAGCCGCATGCGCCGCCACCACCACCACCGAACCCGCCGCCTCCACGCCGCCCTTTCCGCCGCCTTTCCCGCCGCCTTTTCCGCCGCCTTTTCCGCCGCCTTTTCCGCCGCCCCTTCCGCCGCCCTCCCCGCCGCCCTCCCCGCCGCCCTCCCCGCCGCTCTCCCCGCCGTCTTTCTTCGCACCCCTCGCCACTGCTCAACGCTGGGACTCGACCTCCCAGCCTAAAAGAACAAACGCGCCGGGCTCGCATCTCGAGCAATTCTCGCTCCAATTGTGATTGCATCTCCCTGCTACTGCTGCTCTCTC